TGTAATAAAATGTTAAAGGTATTTAATAATAGCACATGAGGCAAATTATTTGTAATATCAATGTTTTTTAGTTTACTATCCTATATCAAGTTCTAATTTTTATTTGAAAATTGATGCTCTTTGTAAAAAGGAAGGAGTCTTCATCTCACATCCCAAATGGGATGTAGTAAGGCAAATGGGTATCTTTTATTGGTATACTTCCCAGGAAAAACAAAGCTTCAGGAATAAAAAATTTTTAAAAAAAGACTTTCTGAAAACAATTCAATCCAATTAAGGTAGGAATATTTTTTTACCCATATCAACATTCATATTCAAGCACCAATGCTGCAAATACTCGTTTCTAAAAAACACTGATCAAAAAAATGGAAGTGCATTCTTCCACTCCCCACCCCAAAACACAACCTTCCACACATAAAATTAATCACCTTATATTTTAAGATAAGGTTATGACCATATTATAATAAAAATTCAGTTTAACCTAAAACTGGAAACTATGCAGAGCCTAATTTTCAAGATTTGTGTTTTGTTTGCAGATGTTCATATTTAAATCTTACATATTTTCAGGAACTACAAAAAAACATATACACAGGCAGTAATTAATACTTAAGGATCACAAGCCTTGGATGAATGCTCATTTTATTATTTCTTACAAGTGAAATACTTGGTTAGTCAGCAGTCAATCAAAATTGTTCCCAAACCAACTTAGTACCTGATGTCAAGGAAGCCAGCAATATTATGTTTATTTACCTATGTAACCCAATTTTAAATGTGGGAAAAAATAAGCATTGTCAGAGTGCAGTAACAGGGTACACAATTCAATATTAATATTACCAGCACAGGAGATGCAGAAGCAAAGAAAATATCACATTCTCTTTATATCCTCATTTTTGCTGAGCAAGCAAACAAAAAACCTCTTAATAATTTGATAAATTCTAAGAAAATGTTTAACAAGTTTATAAGCAAAGAATTATAAACTTGTCTTTGTCTCTCCTCCCAAAATCAAATATAGCATCAATGTCCCTCTCCCCCAAAACAGTATTTTAGTCTGGTGATAAACAGGAATAATGAATAGGAAAATCTTAGCTCATTCCTAAAACATTTCTGAATTTCTATATTTGCCAGGCTTTAAAATGAAAAACATAGCAAAACTAAACAGAAGAGCCCTAGCCGGTTTGGCTCAGCGGACTGAAGGGTCCCGGGTTTTATTCCGGTCAAGGGCACATGCCCAGATTGCAGACTCCATCCCTAGAAGGGGGCGTGGGGGAGGCAGCCAATCAATGGTTCACTCCCATCAAGGATGTTTCTGTCTCTCCCTCTCCCTTCCTCTCTGAAATCAATAAAAATACATTTTTAAAAAATTAAACAGAAGACAAAAGGGCATGGGATCTCTTCACTGGGGACAACTACACATAAAGGTAAATCATTTTATGCAAACATAAAATGTAATTTTTAAAGCTAGAAGGAACTGTAGAAGTTATCTAACATAACTTCAGTATTTTATAGTTAAGACATGTCAAAATAATTTTGCCATTATCTATGCAAAAATCTTGTATATTGTACATTTTTAAATTAAAATTTTTCTCAATGTCTAGAAATATGATTTACAAACATCCCTTCCCATATCAATGGTAATTTAAGTAGCAAAGAAGAATGAACATGAAACAGAAAAATCTCTTCATCTGTATTGTAGAATGTCATTCACCTGTTTTCACAAGAGGAAGGGAAATCAAACCAGAGATCAAAAGCTAGAAATTCAAATACTGTAGTATCAGCCAAAACAATCTGATCCTCCCTCCAAACATTTCTGGACTTGCGTTAAAAATAAAAAGCAACCTGGGCAGTCATTATGATAGTCCATGACTTAAGATTCTAAATCTCAGGATTAGACATTTTCCTGACATTTTGAAAAGTACTTTTAAGGATAAAAAGGAGAAGGGGAAAGAATCAATATTATCCTATATAATAATCCTATATAATAAAAGGGTAATATGCAAATTGACCCTAACAGCTGAACGATCAGTCGCTATGATGTGCACTGACCACCAAGGGGCAGACGCTCAATGCAGGAACTGCCCCCTGGTAGTCAGTGCACTCCCACAGGGGGAGCTCTGCTTAGCCACAAGCCAGGCTGACAGCTGTGAGTACAGCAGCCTCTCCCACCTCCTTGGCAGCACTAAGAATGTCCAACTGCAGCTTAGGCCCAATCCCCCAGGGAGCAGGCCTAAGCCAGCAGGTGGACATCCCCCAAGGAGTCCCGGACTGTGAGAGGGCACAGGCGGGGCTGAAGGGACCCCCCCCTCCCCCGAGTGCACAAATTTTCATGCACTGAGCCTCTAGTCTATAATAATAAAAACATAATGTGCTAATTACACCAGACAACCTTCCAGACAAAGCAGGGTTGTGGGGGAAACCTGGGTCCCAGGTGCCTGCTGGTGGCCAAAGGGAAGCCCAGTCCTGGGTCCCAGGTGCCAGAGGGAAGCCAGTGCCGGCAGCCAGGGGAAGGAAGGCCTACTCTTGCACGAATTTCATGCATCGGGCCTCTAGTGTACTTTATAAACATTAGCTCATTTAATACTTACATCAACCCCAGAAAAGAGGGATGAATTGTATACATATTACAAAAGAAACTAAGACTCAAGAATTTATGCAATCTGGCCTGGCCATTTATGTCTGTTGGTTGGAGCATTGTCAAAGGTTGTGGGTTTGATTCCATCAGGATACATACCTAGGTTTCAGATTCAATCCCGTCAGGGAGGATTTGGGAGACAACCCATTGATGTATCTCTCTCACATTGATATTTGTTTCTCTCTCTCTCCCTTCCTCCTTAAGGTCAATTTGAAAAAAGGGTTTATACAATCTGCCTTAAAATTGCAAATATAATTAATTACCAACACAGGACCTGAAAACAATCTAGTTTATTTTTTATCAAAATCCAAGATCTTTCTACATCATGTAGCCTCTATATTAATAGAGAAAATCATGTTAATATTATTTGAATCCTGAGATATTGATTCCTTTTACGGACATCAGAATATCTTGTATTGGCATCAACTGATGATAATCTAAAACAATATATTTAAAAAGATTTGCCCTAGCTGGTGTGGATAGAGCGTCTGACCCACGGACTTAAGGATTGTAGGTTCAATTCCATTCAAGGGCATGAACCTCCGTTGCTTGATCCCCAGCGGGGCCGAGCTTGCAAGAGGCAATCAATCGATGTGAGATCGTTGTTTGTCTCTCCCCCTCCCTTCCACTCTCTCTAAAAATCAATGGGAAAATATCCTTGGGTGAGGATTAACAAAAAAAAAAAAAAAAAAATTACTGGAAGATCCAACAATTTAATTATAGGTAACAGTCACACACAATCACGAAAAGTCCTATTATAGAAGGAAGACTAACCAGACATTAAAATGTATCCAAGGCCTCAAACTAGGAGATACTTAAAATACTATTTTGAGGAGAAACAAAAAATTGTGACGCTTATGCTTGAGTTATTATAGATTTAACTAGCTTTAGCAACAGTTCCAATAGTAAGCAAGGCTGTTTTTGTCAGGAGTCTGTTTCTAGAAAGTGGGTAGAGTAAGGTATCCAACTAATCCCCTAATCCCCAAGGGGAAATGTACCAGGGAGGGGAGAAAATGACAAAGAGTAAATGCATAATGTAAAGCAGCCAAAAGTGGCCCTCTACCATAGTTTTACATAACTGAAAGATGTCTGGTAAAGCCATTCTAATTACAAACTAATTGTGAACATCATCCCCCAAATGACATAAGATTACGATTTACTAGAAACTGAGACAGCAACTACAAAACTGGTTATTAATGTTTGTCACAACAAACTGAAAACGCAAGGCACGTCCACCCGGTCTACCATACACTTAACTTCCTAATAAGCGGCTTTAAGATGTAACAGAGCGTTTAAGTGTTAAACAACTTCTGACATCAGCATTAAAAACTTAACAGCTACTGCAGCCAGTACCTATATCGTGTTCGAGATGAGGAACTCAAAGAGAAAACGATTGAGTGACCCGTCCAAGACCTGATGCTGCTAAACACAACCTAACACCAAACAACTTCTCCAGCTCAAAGGTTTTCCAAGTGGCGCACCCAACTCCCTGCAAACTCCACGGCGACTTTCTAAACAAGGTGGCCGCGCACCCCAGAAGTCCCCCTTTCAGTAAAGCGCACGCGGAAACGCGGGGACCCGCGCCCCGCAGGCAGGGCGCACCCGGTAACTCGCTCAGTTCTGCCTCGGGGCAACGAGGCAAAGGAGTAAATTAAGCTGACCATCCTATTAGACGCCGCCCCGCGCCCTCGGGTGGGTCCTCGGCTCACAGGCGGGCCTGAAGGGAATGGAGGGAGGCCGGCACCGTGAGACCCAGAACCAAAGAGCCGAGAAAAGATGGGCAGGGATGTAATCGCCGGGAAGCGATCACCTCTCCCGAGCTGTGATCAGCGGCCTCAGCGCGCAACAAGGTGAGACACCGTGGTGCATTTTCGCCGCTTAAGACCCCAATCGAAACCTCTGTCTTCATGCCGATGCCAAGCGTGGGTCGGATTCCTCACGGCAGCCCTCACCACCTGAGGGCCCACCAGTCTCCAGCCGAGTCCGCGCTGGGACTAGGAGGGAAGCCAGGCCTCCTCAACCTGCGCACCACGGTGCGCCGGCACCCGGCCTGCCATCGCGACCGAAACGCGGATTCCCACCAAACCTCTCCCGCCGGCCAGGAGCATCTGCAGGTCCCAGACGACGGGGGGACTCTCTGACTTACGCAGTCCTCTGAGAAATTACCTTTGAACTGGCCTTCTGAGAGCCGCCTGGCGTTTTGTCCGCCATCTTGAGCTTTGCCCCTCCTTCGGCGGCGGCAGCAGCGCCGGCGAGTCGAGCGCCGAAAGAGTGGATCGCAGCGGAGCCCGCCAGAACGTCTGCAAGGCTGAATAGTCAACTGCCGAGATGGTGTTCCAGCTCGTGTGCATATGACTTCCGGAGTCTCCTTTTCCCGGCCCTGCCCACTACGCTGGTTTTTCTGGTTGTCTCGGTTGCTGGGTGTGTTACTGGACCCGCGAATTTAAAGAAGCTTCTGGTCCTGACTTTCAGGGGCTACCAATACTTCACTATTTTTCAAGTGCCAGTCCCTGATAGGTGCGAGCCGGTTCTGCTTCCTGGAGAGGAGGAGACGTCTCCTTAAAGAAGAAAGGCACTGATCAGCTGGGCAGGATTTTACCTCAACTCCGAAAATAGGTCTGGAACGGCCTAGGGACCTGGTGCTCCGTGCAGACTTGTTCGCACCACTGGGGAGCTCACACCCTGATGGGAAACTTGCAGTCTACTCAAGGTACTTGAATATAGAATTGTGCCCAGAAAGCGGAGAAGATGAGCTTTTGACCCAACCTGAGATTCCAGCAATGGGAGATCGGACTCTATTTAGGGCGTCTACAGAGACAGGATAAGAGAAAATCATAAAGATACTATTCTAAGTACGTTCATACTGGGCCCTGAGGCAACCAGGGTGGTTAGGATTTAGAATTATGTTTTGAGGATCTCGAGTGGCCTTCAACAGAGTTAACTAGGACTGTGACTTGGTCAGATTTAAATTTTTAAAGATGGCTCTGAGGTCTGGGGGAAGGGAAGAGGACAAGTTCATGACTTCACTCTAATTTATTTCTGCAAACTATTTTTGAGCCCTTTTTGTGTATAAAAGCCTGCCCAAAGTGTAGAGGCTTACAGAGGCAAAAATACGTTGTCTCTATATGATTTAAAACCTAATGAGGGTTGGGCAAGAGAACAGCAAACTAACACTGTAGAATTAAATTGATTCTGCAAGGAAAACTCAATAGCTGTGGGAACTCTGAAAGAAATAATTAATTCTGAGGGTAAGGTCGGGTAAGGAGATGGGGGAGATTTCACAGAGAAGGAAGCATTCGAACCAACTCTGAAGAAGTAAAATTTTGTCTGTTAGTGTTGGGAGCAGAAGGCGGGAGGTTGGGTAGTGGTGAGGGAAGCTGGTAGGACAGGATATGTGTGCCAGACACTGAGGAATCAGCAGGCTAGGGCTCCTGTGTGAGGGGAGGGGTTAGAAGAACAAACAATAAACAAATAGCAAAAAAAAAAAAAGGATTTCTAAACAAGAAATAATTAGAAAGTGACAGGTGCTATACATTGAAATTAAAATGGAACAATGCTTTGCAACCTCCAGTCCAATTGAATCTATTTTCAATCTCAGATCTTGCTTTTTCAGTTTTGTACTTCTTCCCCCACCCTCATGCTGTCCTCTAATTGAAGGCTACTTTTTTGAAGATGGTACTTCCTCCAGGACTTTACAGACCTTCTTCCCCCGTCAAGCCTATGTTAGAGACTGCTTCTGATCCATAGGAACCTACACTTTTCCACTGACGATGAGTTGGTCTCTATAAAGTAAATATATGCATGCTTTTCATTCAGATTCCTAAAGTTCTGCTTCTTCTAAAAGTAATTTTTACTAAATGTGTACCCCAAAAGAGTTAAAGTTAATGCAGACTTCTTCCCTCTCTTTTTCATATGATAAAGCCCTGAAGGAAGTCAGACAAATCTGACCTGACTATAAGTTATACCTAGTCCTTTATTAAGGCTTAATTAAGTATACTTACTGCCCTAACTGGTTTGGCTCAGTGGATAGAGCATCGGCCTGCAAACTCAAGGGTCCTGGGTTTGATTCTGGTCAAGGGCATGTACATTGGTTGCGGGCACATCCCCAGTAGGGGGTGTGCGTGAGGCAGCTGATCAATGTTTCTCTCTCATCGATGTTTCTGGCTCTCTATCCCTCTCCCTTCCTCTCTGTAAAAAATCAATAAAATATATTTTTTAAAAAAACACAAAAACTCAATCACAGCAATGAGCATAGTTCCTCTGGATACATATAAATCATGAAATCTTGGCCCTATTACTCAAACTGCAAATTAAGAAGGATGAGAGAGCATGAATATACAAGTGGAATTTTTACAGAATCTTAAATTTTTCATTAGACTCACAATTACTATTGCCAAGGGACTATACACAGATAGTAAGGAAATAATACAATTTTCTGCAATTAGCATTACTTTTTCACAATCACATTAAAACCAAGTCACTTTTCTGCCCCCCACCTGCCATCTATCTGTTCAGGGTTCTTCCTACAGCTATGCTAAACATCAACCAAAAAGCAGTGCCAGATGCAGTCCACCCAGAGGTTTTGCTTGGCTCAAAGCAGGGAGATTTTGGTTTCTTTGAAATCTGAGTTGGCATTTTTAAATTGGGAGAATTTACTTGTTTAATACTCAGGATTTCCAGCTTTTCTTGAAAAATGGAAAAGTCTGGCAATGAGCCACAGCAATTTCTTGGAAATCGGGCTGAGCACTCCAGTTCACCAGGCTGTCACCACACACATGCTGTGAACAAATAAATGCCCCACAGCCAGACTGCTTGAAGGCATTTGGGTTTTCTACTTGTTAGTGTGAGAAACATCCCAATCTGCAGAGAATTTTTATAAGCTTTTTTGATCCAAACTGACGACATATGCCAGGGAGCAAGATCTCAAATGCTTCAAATAACAGTTTTGCAGCTTCTGCATTTGAAATTAAGGAGGGGATGTAAGAACGATTACATGGAGGAAGGAGAAAGCAAGGCAGGAATTAACTGGAATACAGGATACTAACAAGATTATGTGATCTCTTGAGGGTTAATATATCTTTTAAGGGGAATTACTTCTGGTATTTCACAGATGTGTTGATCTAGAGCAGGGGTTCTCAACCTGTGGGTTGTGACCATGTTGGGGGTCGAACGACCCTTTCACAGGGGTCGCCTAAGACCATCGGAAAACACATATAATTACATATTGCTTTTTTAAAAAATTTTTTAAATAAATCTTTATTGTTAGTTCCACTGAACTGGACAAGCTTATATTTGGTGCTGCTAGGAAATAAATGCTCCGATTTTACTCAGCATTGTTTTTATAAAAACAATTGAGTTAAAGTAATCTTGGTTGCAGGTTCTTGTTATTCATCATTTTGAATATTTCTTGCCACTCTCTTCTGGCCTGCATAGTTTCTGTTGAGAAATCACCTAACAATCCTATGGGTACTCCCTTGTAGATAACTGACTTTTTTTTCCTCTTGCTGCTTTTAAGATTTTCTCTTTGTCTTTTGCCCTTGGAATTTTAATTATGATGTGTCTTGGTGTGGTCCTCTTTGGATTCCTTTTGTCTGGTGTTCTCTGTGCTTCCTGGACTTGTAAGTCTATTTCTTTCGCCAGATAGGGGAAGTTTTCTGTCATTATTTCTTCAAATAGGTTTTCAATATCTTGCTTTCTCTCTTCTTCTGGCACCCCTATAATTTGGATGTTGGTACGCTTGAAGTTGTCCCAGAGGTTCCTTACACTATCTTGATATTCTTGGATTCTTTTTTCTTTTTGCTTTTCCAGTTGCGTGTTTTTGAGTTCTTCATATTTCAAATCTTTGACTTGATTCTTGTGATCCTCTGGTCTGCTGTTGGATCTCTGTATATTATTCTTTATTTCAGTCAGTGTATGCTTAATTTCTAGTTGGTCCTTTTTCATATCCTCAAGGGTCTCACTAAATTTATTGGTGGTTTCTAGAAAATTCTTGAAAAACCTTATAACCCTGGTTTTGAACTCTATATCCAGTTGTTTGCTTTCCTCCATTTCTGTCATTTATGAGCTGTTTCTTTGTCTCCGCATTTTTTATGCTGTGTTGATAGAGTGGCTTTCGGTGCTAGGTGTCCTATAGGTCCCAGTGGCTCAGCCTCCCCAATTACCTGAGGTGGACACTGTTGGTGCACCCCTTTGTAGGCTGTGTGCACAGTCTTGTTGTAGTTAAGCCTGGATTGTTGTAGCTATCACTGGGAGGAATTGACCTCCAGGCCAATTGTCTGTGAGAATCAGCTGTGTCTATAGTGGGAGAATTTCTGTGCTGAAGACACCCTTATGGGGCAAGACTTGCTTCAATGGGGCTTTGGTGCTCACTGCGTCTGCCCCCTGAGTGTGTCCCTTATGGATCTGAGGAGTTGTAATCTGGATGGTCCCAATCTGACCACTGGGTACACAGGCTCTTGGATCTCTAAGGAGGTGCTAATTTACACTCTGCCTGAGGCTACCCAGCAGGAGCTACGGAGAGATCTGCAGGTTCCTCTTCCTTGTTTGGGTTTTGGAGGTGCCCAGATGAGGCCCAGCTGTGAAGCAATGCAAGCTGCTATGGGGCCTTGGACCTTCTTTTGGATGTTCTGGGTCTTTCTGACCCAGCTGCAGTTTGTTAGGTAATTTTAGATCTCAAAGGGCCAGCCCATTCATATGCAAAAGCCTCTGCTAGCAGCTTGGGTGGGGCGGGGACTCAGGAAATCAACAGGGCGTAGCAAACAGCTATGGCTGATCCTCAGTCGTGCCCTAAGAGAACCTGGGTCTCAGTGTCCCTCAGTAATCACTGCAAGCACCTCTGAGAGAAACCGCACTCGAGTTCCACCCGCTGCCAGACAGTCCAGTTTCTCCCCGTATGAGTCTGGGTCCCCAGAGATTCGCCCGGAACTGGAATCAGGGCCGACGGGAGCTTGCGCCTCCCTCCCGAATGCAAAAGACACCAGCGTCCTCCATTGCCAGCCCCTTTCCACACGTGCTCAAGCCTCCATACCTCTGCACTTAACTTCCGCACCTCCTCTATGTCTCAGTGTGCTTTTCTCTTTCCTTCTAGTTGTAGAATTTCCATTCAGCCAGCCTTCCTGTGTTTCTGGATGATGTCTATTTTGTCTTTTAGTTGTATTTTTGAAGTGGTTGTGCGAGGCAGCAATTTCAGGTGTTTACCTATGCCGCCATCTTGGTTTCTCTCATTACATATTGTTTTTGTGATTAACCACTATGCTTTAATTATGTTCAGTTTATAACAATGAAATTGGGGGTCACCACAACATTAGGAACTATATTAAAGGGTCGCGGCATTAGGAAGGTTGTGAACCACTGATCTAGAGGCACAAAAACAATGGACAGCGCTGGCTAAAAACTTTCCACTAAAGAAATTTTATGCCTGGGGTGAGACTACTCACCGTGACCTGCCCAGTTTGGATTTTATGATTAGATCACCCTATGAAGTTACTTTCCAAAGTATCCCTTTTTTTTTCCATCCACATACTTCTCAGATACAATTTAAGTCTTACCAAAGTTGATGATCAAAACATTTAACAGTCAGTTCCCAGGCACCAAGGAGAACTAACATCCATTTGTCAAGGAAAGTTCTGAACCCAGGGCCCACAGATAATTTTAAGGTCTCCCAAAATGTTTTGATTTATTTTAAAATAAGTGAGGGAGGGGGAGGAGGTAGAGTGGAAAGGCTACAACAAAGGCAACATTTAACATCTATCCTATCTAATAATAGACAAACATGGTAATTGACCATACCTTCACTACACCTCACATAGGCTAATCAGTGCGATATGCAAGTTAACCGCCAACAAAAATGGCGGCTAATTTGCATACTGCAGGCAGGATGGGACAGCACAGCTGCCAGCACAAGCCGCCATCCTGGGCAGCAGGCAGGCCCCAGAAGCCCCAGAAGCCAGTGATCGGAGTGAGATGGGGGTCCCCTGCCCAGGCCTGACACCTCTGGCGGAGGCGTCAGGCCTGGGCAAGGGGCCGATCTGGCGATGGGAGGGTAATGGGGATCGTCACCTCTGGCCGAGATGTCAGGCCTGGGCGAGGGTGGAGCCGGTGATCAGGGGATATGGGGGTCCCCTGCCCAGGTCTGAAGCCTGGGCCAGAGGCATCAGGCCTGTGCGGGGGGCAGAGCCGGCAATCGGAGAGGCCTGGGGGTCCCCTGCTGGGCAAGGGGCCGATCCGGCGATAGGAGGGTAATGGGGGTCAACACCTTTGGCTGAGTTGTCAGGCCAGGGCGAGGGGCCAATCTGGTGATCGGAGGGAGATGGAGGTCCCCTGTCCAGGCCTGACACCTCTGGCAGAGGCGCCAGGCCTGGGCAAGGGGCTGATCCTGCTATTGGAGGGTGATGGAGGTTGAAGCCTCTGGTCAAGGCCTGGGCAAGGGAGGAGCCGGTGATCGAGGGGAGATGGGGATCCCCTGCCCAGCCTGAAGCCTGGGCCAGAGGTGTCAGGTCTGGGGTGTGAGGGAGGGGGGAGGCCAAGTCGGCAATTGGTGTGAACTACAGAGGAAACACCTTTTCTGACCGCTCATTGGTTAAGCTCCCTGTAAGCCACTGGTAATATTCTTAGTAACTTGGGTAATAAGAATCCAAAAAGGTGATCTAGGGTTTTTCACCACACTCCTGGTGAGAAAAACGAAGGTCCGCTGCTGGAAGGCTAAGAAATGTCATATCCTGCCCTAGCCGGTTTGGCTCAGTGGATAATGTCTTGGCCTGCCAATGGCAGGGGCTGAGTCCATTCTGACC